AGGAGGAGGAGGAGGAGGAGGAGGAGGAGGAGGAGGAGCGGTGGGGGGAGAGCAGGAAGATGACTCCAGGCGCCTTTCAGGAACGCGCTTCATCGCCGAAGCATCGGCGATGCAGTGCGACCCGGGACCAGATACAGTTCCTGCGACAGAAGCACGTCAGCCCCAAATGAGAAGAACATAATTTCCAGAGTGATGCGCGAGTCGTGCGCAGGTTTCAACGATGTTGGGATCACGGCGCGCAGCTGGCAAACGTAGCAATGCAGCAGCACGTGCGACAGGAATGTCTTGAAGTCTGCGTTTTCAGTCGCGGGCGGCCACTTCGCGCGAGACGAAACAGAAAATGTCACCTTGGGGTACAAGACCTGCAACTGATATCCGTTGGGGATGCCGTCTGGGAGATCGAGTCTGCAATGTCGCTACGAATATGGCACGCGGTAGGAGTATCACTAGGAGGGGGACGACGCGAGGAGGGAGGATGAATGAGATGACGATAAGGGGGAGGGGGCGGGCAGAGGGGCCGAATCAGATGACGATAAGGGCGATCTTGACGAGGATGAGAAGGAAGAAGAGAAGGGATAGTGGTGGGGAGGCGAACCAATCGTATAACGATGTGACAGAAGTGAAGCGAAGAGAAAACAGTGGAAGCTCGACGATCGGCAACCACTCGCCGTATGTGGGTCGTGAACCACAGGCCACCGTGTTAGGGCCGTGGGCCACGAATGCCAGGAACAGCCGTCATGAGACACGTGGTGCGAAGAATGTCCTAATAGTGTATCAGAGCGCATGTATGGTTTCCTTTGTGGCCTTCGTCCGGCCGATCCCGCCAATGTGCCCGTGCTTGTGGGTGAACGACATTCTGGGTGACAGAGTTTTTCTTGGTGAAGCAGCTTCCACAAGGGATTTGCCGAGACAGGTTTGAGGCCTTTGGGGGGCTGTTTGGGGGCCTCTGCAGGCCTCATTTGGGTTTCTGTGCGACCTCCTCGGGTCTCTCGAACGCGCTCGCAGGCGGTACCAGGGTTCTTCCGGGGCGGAACGCTGGGAAAGTGAGTTCGCGGTCGCCACTGGCGCCCCTCTTGGAGCCGCCCCTCTTGGGGCCGCCTTGGGGCTCTTTTGGGCTGGCATGGAGGCCTTGGGGGCTGTCTGGGGGCCCTCCTGGGTCGTCTTTGGGTCTTCTGGGAACTCTCTTGGGCCGTCTTGGGGCGACTGTACGAGCCTCCTTGGCCGTCTTGGACTCTGTCAACCTCGAGTAGGCGAATGTTGTGAACATGTATGTTTCCCGATCGGAATGAGACAGGTTTTGCTGTGTGGGGCCCTCTTGGGAATGCCCTTGGAGGCAGTTTGGGGCGTCTTGCGAGCCTGTGGGGCAATCTTGAGCGTCTTGGGCCGTTCTGTCGGCGATTATGAGTGTCTCTGCAGCCGTCCCGAGGCCACCAGCGAGCGCCAGAAGAGCTTGGATCCTCCCATGGCGCGGTCCCTGGGGGGTCGTCCGAGGCCGGGGGTGGGGTCAACCGAGTAGTTGATTGGTCCCTGGCGCGGGGACGCCCAAAATTGTAGTGGGCATTTTCTGTATACCAGCACGTGTTATCCCAATAGAGCTGCCTCCCCTCTCCTCGTCCCCTTCAGATGGCAGCGCGTTTTGCGGACTGCGTCGCAGACGCGTTTGGCGTATTTCAGCCGCCTAACTTGCCTGTGCTCCCTGTGGGCACCTGGCTTGCATTTATTTGGGGCGGGATTTAAGGGGGGAGTATCTCACACACCTGGAAACCTCCAAGGCTGGGTGGCGGATTGCACCCTGGAGGTCAAAGCTATGTGGTGTAAGCTCTGCCGTGTAAGCTATATGGCGTGCGCAGTGGAGGTGAACGCTATGCGGTGTAATATATGTGGCGCATGCTATGTTTTGTAGAACGTGTGGTTTGAGCTGTAGGTGAACGCTACGCGGTGTAAGCTATCGAAGACGCCTGCGGCGAATCACCGTCGCCCTTTGCCTTTTCGGAAGCGCCTGCGTGGCTGAAAGTTGGCTTTGAGCTTGGCCAAGCTATTGGGCCACGCGTTCCCCGAGTGGGTTTCGAAAGCCTTCGGGGAACACGGAGTCGGGCGAGCTATCGGACCAGGTGGTTTCCGAGCTTTCGGGCCTCTTTGAGGACGTCTAGGCGGGGTCTTGGACCGTCTTGGATGCCTTTGGCAGGCCTCTCGGGCAGTCTAAGGCCATTTTGACGCCATATGGAACCGTCTTGGGTGCATCTTGGCCGTCTTGAAGGCATCCTGGAGGCCATCTTGACCGTCTTGGCGGCCATCTTGGGCGTCTTCGGGGCCATTTTGGGCCGTCTTGGAGCCTTCTTGGGGCCCTCTTGGGGGCCTCTTGGGCTGTCATGGGGCCATCGTGGAGGCCTCTTGGGTGCCCTTGGGGCGATGTTGGGGGCCTATCGGGCCGTCTTGGGCCGTCGGGGAGCTGATAAGAAGAAAATGTCGTGTTTGTGGGGGCCACGTGCATGCTCTGTGCTCCGTTTCGATAAGTCGCCGCCGAATCCGCTCAAGCTTCAGCGCGCTGAGGCCCCGCGCCATCCGATGGATGCGGGGCTCTGCGCGGCCTTGCCGGCGGCGGGGCCTGGCGTGCTACGAGAGCTGGCGCGCTGGGCCGTGGCGGAGGCGTCCTGGCTGGCGCTCGCGGGGAGCCAGGGCTGTCCGCCCTGCCCCGATTGCCGGCCTGCGCCTTGCCCGCCGTGCCCAAGCTGCCCGCCCTCCCCGCTTTGCCCGGCGTGGGACTGCCTAGCGGCGGGCCCGCCCTGGGCCGTGTCGGCTGGCTCGGAGGCGACTGCGGCCGGGGCCGAGGTGCCATGGCGGTGGCTGCTGGCGGTGGTGCTCGCGTTCGCTGCTGGTCGCTGGAGCGTGGCAGGAGGGGCACCGCCCACGTCGCAGGCGGCTCGGGACCATGTCGACCTACGAGGAGAGGCGACCAGGGTCCAGGTTGCTGGTGCGGTTCGCCGGCGACGAGTGGACGCATGAGAGGATCCTCCTGCGGCCGGTGCATCGCGATCGCCGCAACGAGTGCCGCGTGATCGAGACGGCGGACGGGGTCCGAGCACAGTATCTGACTACCACCACCAAGATCGATAATAATATACGATGCGAATTGGTGCAGTTTTGCTCTGGTGAAAAGCCCGCAGCCCCCCCCCCGCCGCCAACGGCAACCGGGCTGCCCCCTCCCCCTTAAGGACCGAAACAGAATTCATCAAAGCACGCGCGGTGGTGGTGTATATAATTTTGGTTACCAAGGGGAGCGATTTTTATACACCACCACCAAGAAGTGCTGTTTCTGTTTCAGGAACTCCCCATGGCACGGCGCCTGCGAGCTGCGCCGCGCTCCTTTTCGCCGTGGCGTCGCAGCGTCGTCTGGCATGACCCTGCCCCTAACCCTTTTTGCGGAAAACTATTGTTGCGGGCGGTGGTGGTGTATACAAATTGGCCTCGCCCGGGGATCGCTGTCCAGCGGAAGGTTGACAGGCGGTGGCGCATCTCGTTGATGCACGGCTGGCCCGAGGGGTTCGCGTGCGACGCGGCGCGCTTCCGCGCCGAGGTGGGCCGCGAGGGGTTGCGCCAGATGGTGCTGGAGGGCCGCGACTTGGCGCGGGAGGAGCGCCGTCGACGCCGTTTCCCGCCCGACCTGGGCGCCCACCTCGGCGAGGAGCCGACGACGATGGTGGACTGGCACGGCGACGAGTGCGGGCTGGAGGCCGGCGCGCTGGGGGCGGCTCGCCGCAGGCTGCGGGGGGCGACCCTTGCGGGATGGCGGCCACGTGCCAGAGGCGCCTGGCGATGAGGAGGCGCCCCGCCCCGCCCTGGGCGATGCCGCGCCGCCTGAGGATGCTGAAAGCGTGCTGCTGGTGGCGGAGCTTCACGCCGGCGGGGGACTGGCCCTTGGCGACGAGATGGCCGCGCGTCGGACCGACGTGTCGGTGGGGGCGAAGGTGATCGGCCGCCGCGCGGATGGTGGAGGCCGAGCGGGTCGCGCTCTCGGAGGCCGCAGCCTGGCGCGCGCAGGCGTTCGAGAATGCTCGAGGCGTGGTCCCGCCAACAGCGCCTCCTGATGGGCTCCCGCCCCCGGTTGAGGATCGGCCCCGCGACCTTCGAGAGGCTCAGCGGGCCCCAGCTGAGGAGGTTGGCGGCCCGAGCACACCCCGCGAGGGCCGCGTCGAGGAACCCACCGAGGACGTCAGGACGCTGGCCGTAGAGTGGAACGAGCAGGGCGTCCGCTTCAAGGAGCGGCGGCGAGCGGCCGGCGAGAGCAGTGCGGAGGCGCTGGGCGGTTGCGAGCTGCGCGGAGCAGGCGCGGCTGTGCACCTGAGTCAGAGTTTCACGCAAAATGGCAGTGATCCTAAAAAATTGATGTCAAACTTCTGCCGGGAGTATGGCGTCAGTCAGCGGGGCCGCACCTGGCACGAGTTGAACTGCTTGGTGACGATCTTCTGGCTGGCGGGGGCCTTCGACGCAGTGGACCTCGGAGGCCTGGCCTGCCTGGAGGCGGCGGCGCGTCGGATTGCCCAGATCACCGAGGCCCATCGCGTGGCTCCTGGGCAGCCTGCGGCTTGGGAGGCGGGCCGCTTCCTGACGGGCACCAGTGACCCCTTCGATGTGGTGTCGCCTGAGCTGCGGAACTTCGCGAAGCAGCTCGGGGCGAGGCCGAGCGCCTTACCGCGCTGGGCCGGGGCCGGGCGCTGGCGGCTGGCGGGCGCGGGCCGAGGCCGTTTTGGACGCTCTGACACCTCGCGACCGGCGCCGTCCAAGTTCATGGGCGGGGGCAGGGGGAGGGGTCAAGACACCCCCTTGGGTAGCAACCCGTCCAGCTCACTCCCACCCGCAGCACATAAGTGATACCTGAGCCTGAGCATGTTCAGCGGTCGTCTTTGGATGGACAGCTACTGGGAACCCAAGCGGACCCCAAGTGCGCGACACTGGGGCGAGGTGCGCCACGCGTGCCAGGCGCGCCACGCGCGCCAGGCACCCCTGGGCCCCGAGCGTGCCAGACACGCCCGGCGAGCCAGATGCGCCACGCGCTCCGAATGCACCAGGTGCGCCGCGCAATCCAGCCGCGCCAGGTGTGTCATCTTCGGAGCACGTGCAGAGTTAGCCAGGTGCGCCTGCGCACGTGACAGCACACGTCGGGAAACATGTCGGCCCCCGCCATCCTTGTCGAAAACCAATGCCCATCATTGTGTCTGGTGGGCCTGCGCACAGCAGGCCACGCGCCATCACCCCCGCCGTCTCTGTCAATTACTCCCTGCGTGGGGATCCCCAGATGTTTCTTATATAAAAAAGATCATTGTCAGTGGGATCTGGGAATGCGCGTCTAGCCATTTCGGCGCTTGGAACTGGTCCTGGGGCCTCTCGGGGCTTCCTGTTGCCTTCCGAGTCCTCCTGGCGCTTCCTTTGGCCTCCTCGGCCTCCTGGGGCCTCCTGTGGCTTCCCGAGACCTCCCTGAATTTCCTGGGGCCTCCTATAGCCTCTTGGGACATCCTGTGGCCTCTTGACTCTTTCTATGGTCTCCTGATGCCTCCTGGGACCTCATGTGGTCTCCTGGGGTCTCCTGGAGTCTGTTGTAGCCGCCTGTGGCATCCTGAGGAGAATCTGTGCCCACGAGTTTGGCCACCGACCGAGACATCCTCAAAATCTGGCCCACCTGGGGGGTGAAAGTGAGCGCCTCGCTCGAGACATCCTCCAAATTTGCTCCGACAGCGAAGGCTGTTGGGACTGATAACAGGCAAACCGCTTGAGACATCCCAACAAAACGGCCGCGGACGGGACCGTGAAAACACCGTTGGCTGCTCCCTTTAGGGATGCTGAGAATGAGCGCCTCGCTCGAGACACCCTCCAAATCTGCTGCGAAAGCGAAGGCTGTTGGGACAGATGACAGGCAAACCGCTTGAGACATCCCCACGAAACGGCCGCGAACGGGACCATGAAAACACCCCTGGCGGCTCCCCTTAGGGACGTGGAAATGAGCGCCTCGCTCGAAACATCCTCCACATCTGCTCCAAAAACGAAGGATGTTGGGACAGAACACAGGCAAACCGCTTGAAATTTCCCCACACAGCGGCCGCGATCGGGACCGTGAAAACACCGCTGGCGGCTCCCCTTCCCTTTAGGGGTGCTGAAAATGAACGCCTCGCTCGAGACATGCTCCAAATCTGCTCCGGGAGCGAAGGATGCTGGGACAGAAAACAGGCAAGGCGCTTGAGACATCCCCATTAAACGGCCGCGAACGGGACCGTGAAGACACCGTTGGCGGCTCCCCTTAAGGGGGCTGAAGCCAGCGCCCCGCCTGAGATATCCTCACAATATGCTGTGTGTGTCGAATAATTCAACAATGAAAAGGTCTGAGTACGAGCTGGTTTGAGTATGAGTAAGTCTGGGAACAAGTATGAGTATCAGTTCGTCTGGGCATGAGTGAGTCTCAGCATGAGTAACTCTGAGTAGGAGTTCTGAGTAAGTCTGAGTAGGAGTAGGTCTGAGTAGGAGTAGGTCTCAATAAGAGCAATTCTGTGTGTGAGTAAGTCTGGGTATGAGTAGGTCTGTGTGTGAGTCAGACTGTGTATGAGTAACTCTGGGTATGAGGAGGAGAGGGAGGAGAAGGAAAGGAGGAAGGAGGAGGAGTAGGAGGCGCCCAAATAATTACAATAACCCCATCTTAGGATATGGGGAAAAACCGTTTGACAGTGATCGCGGGATGGCCGCGCATGATCCAGAGTTAGTCGCGCGGTGCATGTTGTAGTATTTGTTGTCAGGGGTGGTAGCCCTGCGCACGGCAGGGAATATGTCGGCACCCCCGCCGTTTTTGTCAAAGACAATACAGAGTGGTCGCGGGCCTCACGAACATGATTCAGGACTTTGCCCCACAGTGTATTTTGCATTGCTTTTTGACAGGGATGGTGGGGAGGGGGTCGCATCGAGTTGGTCGAACATATTCCAAATGTGGAGGCAGAGTGCGGTCTGTATTGTTTTTGCACGGATGGTGTGGGGGCGGGCCGTCTTGGTGTCATCATGGTTCTTGGACGCCGGTCGTTTGGGAGAGGGGGTGTATGTTAATAAGGAACATCGGAGCGACCGACATGGGTACGGAAAGAATGGGTACAATGCCCAACAGCAGTTCCTGCTCATTTTGAAGAGGACTCGCTGTCCACGCCGCCGCGGCCCGCTGTCTATTTGAGACAGAAGGCCGCCTGCCCAACATCGGCCGCTGTTGGTTTGGGACGAAATTTGTTGTTGGGCTCTGTACCCATTTTTTCCGTACCCATTCCGGGCGTCCAAAGAACAGTAATAAACCCATCTTCGGATGTGAAGAGGGGCAGATGAAATACAAAACACCCTAGAGCACCTACGCCCTAATGGGTTGATGGGATTAGAAAATACCCCTTCGCCTCCGCTGAGGAGGGTCAGGCGCCGCGCGAACTGCATTGTTTGGTTCTCTCTCTTTCTCCTTTTTTAGAGATGGTTTTTGTTTTTGTTCCTTCATTTTCCATGTGAAGACATAAGCCACGGTTAATTCGTAATTCTTTTCCTATTGTTCGCCCCCCTCGTTCCTGCGGCGCCCGCCCCTCCACGGCGAAATTGGATTATCCTCTCCCTTCTTTCGCAGAGACCAGGGTGCATGTTTTCCTTGTTTTCCTCCTCTTCCTTCTAGGGGGTGGATTTTCCGTATTCTTTTTGGTGACAGCAGAAGTTGTGTCTTATGTGTTGTTTCCATGCTTTTCCCTCCCTTCGTTCCTGCGGCGCCCGCCCCTCCATGCTACAATCGTGTTCTCCTCTTCCCGTCCTCCGCGGCAGCGAGGGGGGCATGTCTTCATTTTCGTTCCTCCCCCCCTTTGAGGATTGGATTTTTTTTTGTTTCCAAATTTCCGTGTGGAAGCAACAGTCGTTTCTTAACGCTTTTTTCTTGTTCCCTCCCTTCGTTCCTGCGTCGCCTGCCCTTCCATACTACAATCGGACTATCCGGTCCCCTCCTCCGCGGAGGCGACCAGGTATTTGTTTGTCCCTCCTCCCCTTTGGGGGCTTGAGATGTTTCCGATGTTCCATCTGATTTTTTTGTTGTTCACCCCATTCTTTCCTGCGGAGTCCGACTTTCCAGAATAGAGCTTCTTTTGCGGATTATTCCACAGGGATTCCCTTGTTGGTTGATTACATCGGATTTGTGTGGGACTACAGTCGCACCATCTCCTCGGCGGCGAAGGTTCAATTGTCCATTGTTGTTCGTCCTCCCTCTTTGGGGGTTGGAGTTTTTTTTTGTGTTTCCAAATGGTTGTTGTATATGGTTTTTCGTATATATCCATGTGCCGTTCGTTCTTTTCGCTCCTGCGGTGCCTGCCCCTCCTGACTACAGTCGGGTTCCGTCTGTTTCTGGGTACACTTGGGTCTCTTTTTGTGGATGATTGTTTCAGGGTTCCTTTCGTGGGGGATATCGGACGATTTAAGTAAGATCCTCTCATGTGCGGTGAATTGCAACATGAGTTTCATTTCGGGGCCCCCGCTGCGAAACATGTATGTTTTATTGTGCATTCCATGCTGCGACGGACGGTGGGCAATTACGATGTTCCTGCTGTTCCCGTGGGGTGCGCACGGCATTCGACCGCCAGTACCATCACAACAAGTGGTATTACTACCACTACGAATACAACTGTAGTGCAACGCGCCGCTACTACTACTACTACTACTACTACTACTACTACTACTACTACTACTACTACTACTACTACTACTACTACTACTACTACTACTACTACTACTACTACTACTACTACTACTACTACTACTACTACTACTACTACTACTACTACTACTACTACTACTACTACTACTACTACTACTACTACTACTACTACTACTACTACTACTACTACTACTACTACTACTACTACTACTACTCTAGCTACTACTACTACTACTACTACTACTACTACTACTACTACTACTACTACTACTACTACTACTACTACTGCTACTACTACTACTACTACTACTACTACTACTACTACTACTACTACTACTACTACTACTACTACTACTACTAATACTAATACTACTACTACTATTACTACTACTACTACTACTACTACTACTACTACTACTACCACCACTTTCACTACTACTACGACCTACTACTACCACTACTACCATTACTACTACTAGTACTTCTACTACGGCTACTGTTATTAGTATTATTAGTACTACTACTACGACGACTACTACCACTACTACTTTGGTTTACTACTGCTAGTACTAGTAGTATGACTAGTACCATTATTATCACCAGTACTACTATTACGATTACTACTACTACTACTACTACGACTACTACTACTACTACTGCTCCTATTACTACTGCAACTATTACGACTACGACTACGACGCCTATTACGACGATTACGACTATTAGTACTACTTTTGCTAGTACTAGTACTACTACTACTACCACTACTACTACTTACTACTACTACTACTACTACTACTACTACTACTACTACTACTACTACTACTACTACTACTACTACTACTACTACTACTACTACTACTACTACTACTACTACTACTACTACTACTACTACTACTACTACTACTACTACTACTACTACTACTACTACTACTACTACTACTACTACTACTACTACTACGACTAACTACTACTACTACTACTACTTACTACTAACTACTAACCACTAATTACTAACTACTAACTACTACTACTACTACTACTACTACTACTACTACTACTACTACTACTACTACTACTACTACTACTACCCCTACGGCTACTATTGCTACTGCTACTCTTGCTCTCACCGCTGCACATGGATTACTTACCATTACTATTGCTGCTGCTACTATTACTGCCGCTGCTACTCGTATTACTAGTCCGGCGACGCCACCAGCCGCCACCAGTAACTATTACTACATTGCTATTCGTAGTTTTACCACCAGTGCTACTACCACCATTACCACTATTACCGTTACTACCTCTACTACGATTGGCGAACGGAATATTGAAATGTGTGTTGTAGAGCGGGAGGTCGACAGTATGTTACACCCCGTATTCCAAACTAAGTATGAACGGCGCAGCGTGCCATGATACAGTGCGAACTGGACTCGTCATGGAGTCAGCATTGCGCGCGGCAATCTCACAACTGTTCTGCTGTGTGCTCCCCCTACGACCATTCACCCTTAGCCCTTCTGTATTGCCGGTTTCCTTCCCATCTGTTCGTTCCCCTGCTCACTTCCTCCGACGCTCCGCCTTTTCATTTTAATCCTCGCATTTCCTCCTCCTCTACCTCCCTCTTCTCTCTCGCGTCCATCCTCCTCTCCCCTCCCGCTTGACCTCCCGACCATGTTTTCCAGAGTTCCAGAACCTGTCGCAAAGCCTCCTCCCCCCTTTTGTCCCTTCCCCCTTATGGTGGACGTCTACCATGTGATTCCTTTTGTTGCGGATTATAAAGAGATTCCTTTTTGTGGCGACCATGCAAGAGCACTCCTTTCGTGGCGCCTCACAAACAGAGGATTCTGTTAGCGAGTTCAATGTGGTTTCTTTTGTGGTGGGTTACACGGTTTCTGTGTGTGGCGGCTTACAGAACAGATTTGTTGTAGTGGATTACAGCAGGACGCAACGGGAATCCACAACACACGACTGATGTTTCCATGATATCGTTGGACAGCGAATGGGACGATATGCGATGAATACGATGATGCCGATGTCGTGTCATGGTATGGACGGTGACGACGATGGTGTTCCTTGCGATGATGATGCTGATGACGATCGGTGATGATGTTGATGGGGATGATGGTGATGATGAGGATGGTGATAATGCTGAAGATGTTACTGATAATGATGATGGTGGTGATGACGATGATGATGCTCATGAGGATTATGATGGTGATGATGATGATGAGGATGATGTTGATGTTGATGATGATGATGATGATGATGATGATGATGATGATGATGATGATGATGATGATGAAGCTGGTGATGATGATGATGATGCTGCTGCTGATGATGATATGTATTGTTACGTGACTGATGATGAGAATGATGGGCTGCGAGCCCAACAAGTGGGCCCACTTGTCCCCCCCGCGCCCATGCGGCCGTGCGCCGAGGCGCCTCGGCCCGTCCCCATTCGCCCTCTTCGCCACTCCTGCTCCTCCCCCCCTCCTAGCCAATTCACAAGGCAGCTCCTCCCTTGCCTCCCCCCTTCGCCCCTCTTGCTCCTCCCCCCTCCCTAACCACTTCTCAAGGCAGCTCCTCCCTCCCCTTCGCCCCTCTTGCTCCTCCCCCCTCCCTAACCACTTCTCAAGGCAGCTCCTCCCTCCCCTCCCCCCCTTCGCCCCTCTTGCTCCTCCCCCCTCCCTAACCACTTCTCAAGGCAGCTCCTCCCTCCCCTTCGCCCCTCTTGCTCCTCCCCCTCCCTAACCACTTCTCAAGGCAGCTCCCTCCCCTCCCCCCCTTCGCCTCTCTGCTCCTCCCCCCCCCTGACCACCCCTCCTCCGTCCCCCCCTTCTCCCCTCTTGCTCCTCCCCCCTCCCTAACCACTTCTCAAGGCAGCTCCTCCCTCCCCTCCCCCCCCTTCGCCCCTGTTATTCCTCCCCCCCTCCTAGCCAATTCACAAGGCAGCTCCTCCCTCCCCTCCCCCCCTTCGCCCCTCTTGCTCCTCCCCCTCCTGGCCAATTCTCAAGCCAGTTCCTCCCTCGCCCACCCCCCCTTCGCCCCTCCTGCTCCTCCCCCCCCCCTGACCAATTCACAAGGCAGCTCCTCTCTCCCCTCCCCCCCTTCGCCCTCCTGGCGATTCCTCCAGGCCTTTTGACTCTTCCTCCAGGCATCTCAGGAGCGGTGGGTGCGGTCTTCTCACGAAGTACGGCAGGTTACGCTCGGCGTGCCCGCACTCGCCGAAAACACTTCGGACGAGAGATAAGCTCGAAAAACATGATGGCGACATGTATCGGACCCGTACGTGGCAGCGAGCATGCAATCTGTTTCATGGCGGAACGGGCGATCTGTTGAGCAAATCAAGCACGTACTGGAGCCAGAGTTGAGGATGACATCTACTTTCAAACCTTATATGATGGTTGTTTGGACTGCAACAGAACATCGTGTGGCGACATACGCCCTGACAACAGCAGCCAGCACAGGAACTACCTCATCTGAATCTGAGCGCTCCGAAGCCCCCGCCGCGCTCCTATAGGGGCCGTCCTCCGGGATGTATCAGGCGTCTCGTCTCCCAGATGTCGGGTCCAAGCGAATGGGGTGGGAGGATCGCGCCGCACCGCCGATGCATTTGCGATGCGACGTGTTCTGGAGCCCGATTTTCGTCACGCCGACGTCGCCAATGCATCGACGATGCATCAGCGATTAATTTTCGCTGCGGCGCGATCCTACGACCCTATCCAGCCGGACCCCGTTCAGGAGACCTTCACTTTCCTCTTGTTCCCCCTCTTCATCCTCATTCACCTGGTTCCTTCTCGGCTGGACGGAAGAGGAAGAGAGGGGATCAGGAGCAGAACGAGGCCGAGGTGGAGAAGCAGAGCAGGAGGACGACCTGCATGCAGAGCAGGGATAAGTGTACGATGAGAGGAGTAGGGAGCAGGTGGGCATAGGACCAGCAGGAGAAAGGGAAACTCGGTGAACAGGACGGGTAATTAGCAGCAGGAGTAATGAGGCGGAGATTGAGGAGGGAGGAGGGGGATGATGAGGAGGAGCAATGAGGAGGCGGAGGGAGAGCAGAAGGCACGGGTCGCATCGTCGGCGGCCGCCAGGACAAGCAGGAGAGACTGAACTACGAGTGGCAGGCGCGAGTGGGCCTGTACGGTGGGCGCTGGAGTCAGTCAAGAAAACGGTTTACGATGAGGAATTGGTCCTGGGGAAGGCCCCTTGGATCTTGGACCCGTTTTCCTCAGTACTCATCTTCTTCATGCCAGCGTCAGCGCTGTTGCAGTAATCTCCGCCTGTGCAATACGGAGGAGGATGCCGCTTCCGCTTGGCGTTTATCAGAGGCGCCGGGTTGGTGATGGCAGCGTTGTCCAGCACCGTAGAGATACCTTTTCCAGCCCCACTTCCAGTCCCACCTCGAGTGGCGTTTCGCTGGCACCGCGCTGCTTTCCGGTAGCGTGCCAGCCCGCACTACGATGCAACGAGATGGCCAGGGGCTTCAGGGGTCGACCTCCCCCTCCGCGCCTCGGCAGGCAGGGCGATGCCCGCGAAGGCCGGCGGAGAGCAGACACGCGCGGCGCCCCCCAGGCGCAAAGGACGGCAGCGCCTCCCAGACGTCCGAGCGCGTCGATGCACCCCAGGAAGCAATCGCTACCGCCCCCGTCATCAGAGGACTTTGCAGTGCTTCCGGCACTGGGGCAGGGCGGGAGCGATATCCCCTGCAGAGTCCTCCTCCTCATCTTTTCTATCATTTCTCCCCCAGAGGTCTCTGAGTTTCTCCGAAGCAGTTATATACCTACCCTGGTCCAAGCCAGGCTGATCATGAGCTGAGGATGGATGCACATGCCGCACTGGCCAAACCAGGAGGGTGTATATGGCGATCCTGTGCTCAGGATGGGTGAGAGCCAGTGACGGACACGTGATACTGCGAAGTTTCATATACGATATGAGAGCGTACCTGCCGATGGTATGACGTGTCGAGCTTGGGCTGGCGCGTCGAGCTCATGATGCGTTCCCAGTCAGTTTCGTTTACCGTATGTTTTTGACGTGCTGGCGTCAACGTTTGTACTTAGTGCGTGCATGCTATGTGTGTGTCACTGCTTGTTTACATGCGCAGCCTCTTGTCACCACACGACGCACTGTCCAGCAGTTGTTCTAGATTATACCGATCGTTGTTTCTCCGTACGTGTCGAGGGACGTTGAATTTTGATCGTTGCTCGCGCAGGCGAAGAAGGCCGAGAAGGAGAAACTCAAGGCCAAGGAGAGAAAAGAGAAGGAGGTGGGGCCATTCGACAAAAGTTTGTGCGGACATGAATAGCCGACGATAGCAGAACGTACCCATGCATTCATGGGGATGAGAAAGAGAGATACATATATATATATACAAGACTGCAGTGGCGCTTCGCGCCATGCACCTTGGTCCTTGAAGATTGCTACGCAGGTGGAAAAGGCAGGAAGGTCAAGCGGACACTTTAACGATAATTCCTTGCTGCCTTTTCTGGCATCGCCATTCTGATAATGTTGTTCGTTATCCTGGCTCCATGCTTATTTGTCCTCATTCTCGCCATACCCTGGGCATTCTCCCCATCCTCCTCAGCTCTTTTTTCCGGAGGGTCCTCCTTGGAGAGCCTTTGGGGGCCTCACCAAAGTTCTCAAGCTCTCCTAAGCCTTCTGGAGGCCTCCTGGGCGTGTTCTGGGGGCCTCTGGGGCTTCCTAAGGGCAACATGCATTTAACCGCGGTCTCCCTGAACGCCCCGGTCACGATTTGGAATGCTTCGGAGGGTGTCTTGGGGCCATTTTGGGCCGCCATGGGGCTCTCTTAGGGCCATTTTGGACCCCTGGTGCGCCGTTTTTGGGGGCTCTCTTGGACTGCCTTGAAGCCCTTTCGGATGGCTGTGGGCCGTTTTTGGAGCCTTCCAGGTGACTTAGGATGCCCAGAAGACCGGTCTTTTGGAGCGTAGGGAAGCCGAAAAGATGAGAACCCCAAATTCACAAAAATTTATATTGAATCAGTTATTTGTCCCTCTTGGGGCCTTCTTGGGGGTGCTCTTGGAGGCCTCTTGGTACGTTTTGGAGCGATCTTTCGGGGTATGACGGCTTCTTGGAGCGCTCTTGTGCTGTCCTCGGGTTCTCCAGGACGTCTCCGAAGACCCCCCTGATCGCCCTAGGAGTGCTGCGAAGGCTTGGCAAAACGCCCTGCGAGGCCCGGGGTGCCGCTTCGAGGCCCGTCCGAAGGGCCCCAAAGCCCCAGATCCAGGGAGTCCGGTTTTGGGGCAGGGGGGACGGGTTTTCCCCCCGCCCGGGCTTATAAAAATATAGCAAGAGGAATATACATATATATATATATATATATATATATATATATATATATATATATCGGAGGTGAGGGGGCGAGACCGAAGTGGAACGGAGAGCCCCCCTACCGGGAAATCGATTTCGGTTTCGTGTTCGTGCGTGCCGTGCGCGCGGGCGAGGCGAAGCTGCGTGGGCGGGCGAGAGGAAAGTCTCCTGTGGCTGAGGCGCGGCCGGACCAAATGTGTCTCTTCCGGGCGGCCGGTGGCGCGCGGTGTCCCGCCGGTGTCCCGCTGGTGTCCCGTCGGTGTCCCTGTGGCTGAGGCGCGGCCGGACCAAATGTGTCTCTTCCGGGCGGCCGGTGGCGCGCGGTGTCCCGCCGGTGTCCCGCTGGTGTCCCGTCGGTGTCCCGTCGGTGTCCCGATGATGATGTGGATGATTATGATGATGATGATGATGATGATGATGATGATGATGATGATGATGGTGATGATGATGATGGTGATGATGGCGATGATGATGATGATGATGATGATGATGATGATGATGATGATGACCATGATGACCATGATGATGATGATGATGATGATGATGATGATGATAATAATGATGATCATGATGATGATGATGATGATGATGATGATGGTGGTGGTGTTGACGATGATGATGACGTCGATTGTGAGATCGATTGTGACATCGATAGTGAGACCGAATGTGAGATCGATAGTCAGATCGATTGTGAGATGATGATGGTAATGATGATTATGATGATGATGGTGCCGAGTGAAAATTGCCGAGTGAAAATCGATAATGAGATCGTTTGTGAGATCGATAGTGAGGCCGAATGTGAAACCGAATGTGAGATCGATTGTGAGATCGATTGTGAGATCGATAGTGAGATCGATAGTGAGACCGAATGTGAGACCGAATGTGAGATCGACTGTGAGATCGATTGTGAGATCGATAGTGAGATCGACAGTGAGACCGAATGTGAGACCGAATGTGAGATCGACTGTGAGATCGATTGTGAGATCGATAGTGAGATCGATAGCGAGATCGATAGTGATATCGATAGTGAGATCGAATGTGAGATCGATTGTGAGATCGATAGCGAGATCGATTGAGTGAGACGTTGGTTCCCCCTCCCCCCTCACCTCCTGATCACCCGCAGGGTGGTCGTATAGGTATATATATAGAGAGAGAGAGAGAGAGAGAGAGAGAGAGAGAGAGAGAGAGAAGAACAACACAACTATTATGCGAGAAAGGCAGAGCGATACAGAGTGATACAGACAGGGAGAGAGGGCGAGGCAGAGACAGAGAGAGGGAGAGAGAGAGGGAGAGAGAGACAGAGAGGAGAGAGAGAGAGTGGGAGAGCCGCACAACATTGTCAACATTGTACAGCGGCAGAGAGACAATACGGCAGCGGGCTGTCGGACCATTCATGGGCAGGTTCCGAACACATTGTAGTTGTTTGTTCCAGCAATGCCGAACTGACATTCCATTCTGGCTGGGCGAAGGCCCTGCCGTGGGAAAATTGATTTCACTACGCGCGCAAGGCACGTGTGGAACGCTAAGGTAGCGGCATCAAAGATCTACGGACTTGGCGTGGCACATGTTTGTGAACGCCGCGGCTCATGGTGTGCACATGATTGCATGTTGTATGCTATATTTGTTTGTCTGCCCATGTGCGCACGTGCCATCGGTCGCTCCCCACGCACTCCCTGTATGGAGCTTGTCATGATCATACTGTTCGTGCGAGTGACGGTAACTACGCATCCACACTGACATATCGTGTGGTACACGGACACCTGGCAAACAAATGGTAGCTGCACAGGCAGGAGTAGCCGGCCAGGGCACAATAAAATGTAGAGTGGTTGTATATCGTGAAGGCCTAACGGCCGGTGCCGCCGATCTTTAAGACGACGACGACGACAATGACGACGACAATCTCAGGGCCCTGCCACAGGCTCGGGACAAAGGGCGGGAGGGGGAGGAAGAGAAGAAGGAGGAGGAGGAGGAGGAGGAGGAACAGGAGGAGCCACTGGCTGAGGGGGTACGCCGCGGGGGGGCGCCGGGGGCGCGTCGTCGTCGCGCCCTCTTCCCCTTCGTCGCGGCCAGCCCCCGCTCGGCCGTGGGCAGCGCGCCGCGGGGCGGGCCATAGCCACGCAGCCACGCCGCGCCGCCGCTGCTCTGCCGTTACCAGGCGCCGAGGGCGCCCGCCGCCGGCCGCGCCGCGGCCCGAGCGGCCAGCTCGCCAACACGCCGCAAGCCCGCCTGGCATCACCGCGAGAAACATCAGTGAGGACAGGACAGGCCCCTTCCCGCCTGCAAGCGGCGGCCGAGCGCTTTCCCGCCCACCCCTCCGCCCAGCCCACGAAGGCACGCGATGGGAAAGGCAGAGGCGGTAGCGGTCGCAACGGCAAGGGCCAGGCCCAGGAGGAGGCAGCACCAACCGCCGCGCCGCCCTGGCGCCAGGAGCGCTGGCAAGGACCAGGCTGGCGTGATCAACGCTGGGGTTCGGCACCCGCAGGAGAGGACGATCAGTGGCACAGGGCGCCGTCGCAGCCCCGCCGAGCCGGCCAATCCGCCCAGCAGGAGGCTAGGCCAAGGCCATGGGCGGACACTTCGGCGGACGGCAGGTCACGACGGGGCGGGGCCAGCAGAGGTGCCGCGGGCAGCGCAGCTGGCAACTCTGGCGGACAGGCGGGCGGGCAGCAGAGCACGCAAAAGGGTGACAAGGGCGCCCAGAAGCTGCTTGATGCCACCGTCGCGTGCTCGCTTGAGGAAGCGCTGGCGCACCCTCGCTGGGAGCCCCCGCCTTTCGATGCGCCAGGAATTCGCAAGTTCCTGGCGCGGACGGATCAGAGGCTCAGGCAGCTGGGCAACCTCCTTCAGGCTGCTCGAGGTGCTGGCTCCGAGACCACCGAAATGGTGAAAGAGGTGACCCTTATCAAGTACCAGAGGCTGATCCCGAGGCACCCCGAGGGCCAGCTCAAGGAGCTAAGGGAAAGGCGCAGCGAACTCCTGGATAATATCACAAGCGCCAAGTCCAAGGTTGAGGAGCTTTCGACCGAGCTGCACTCCATGCAGGACGCCCTCAAGCTCGTAGAGGCCAACATCCGCGACACGAAGGCCATCTTCGCTGACGAGGGCAGGTTCGGCGATGATGAGGAGGAGGAGGAGGACAGCGAGCACCAAGGCGCGGGCGCAGCGTCCTCTGCGTGGGACTGGGACAAGTACCACAAGATCATCGTGGACAACCGTCAGAGGGCCGCCAGCAGAGGAGGCGCAGCAGCGTGGCCGGCAGGGAGATCCCCCGCGCCCAAGACCCCGAGGTCCCGCGCGAGCTCGGCTGGCAGCAGGGGCTTCGTCGAGAGGGCGCAGCATGCAGCCGGGGAAAAGGAGGCCCAGCGCCAAGCCCGGGAGGCCAAAAGGAGACAGGAGGCACTTGAGGAGAGGTGCCGCCAAGAGCTTGAAGAGGTCCGGGCTGTGGCAAGGCAACAGGCGCTCCATCGCAACGGGGAGCAGGCCAAGCTGCGCCTGGACACCAAGGCCAGCGCAGCGGCCTACGACCAGGTCAAGAAGGAGGCCAACGCGGAGCGACTCCGAGCCAACGGACTGATCGCTCAGCTGGCGGTCGTGAAGGCCGAGCTGGCTGAACAGCCCCTAGCTGGGCAGCAGGGCGCTGCCTTCCAGCAGACCTGCCAGGCGATGAGGATTAGCCACGCCGCAGAGCTTCAGGACGCCGAGGCAGAGTGGCAGCGCCAGCACAGGGCAGCAACGGCACAGGATCTTGCCAAAGCCAATGGCAAGGGCAGCCCCGGGCATGAGGATAACCGAGACCGTCGCCAACCAACAGAAGGTAACGGAGAGGGCGGAGGCGCGCGCGCAGGCTCTGGAGGCTAGCGAGGTTGAGCTCAAGCAACAGGCCTGGCAAGAGGCAGACGCTGCGGCCAGGGCGGAGGCAGCGCGCGCGGCCGCGGCAGC